AAAGCCAAGCCTACACAGACTACTAGAAGATGTTCTAGAGGGGGAGCAAAATGACCACAACTCCATGAATGAGAATGGAAAGAACCCACCAAATAGGACAAACAATTAAACACAGGAGCATAAGACGTATACAAAAGCAGTCTTTCAGTTATTCTTTTGTATACAGCAGCAAGGTATTTTCAGCATACTCTAAAACTGAACTTGTCCTGCACTCTATGGGTCATGATTCTGTCTGGGTCTACAGGGTGGATATCAAGGAAGTAGCAGTAGCTCAGTCCCACAAGTGACACCTGGCCACCAGTAAGTGTTATGGACATTATCCATGTCCACGATGCACTAGAACTTTGTGCGATATCCTATCCCCAAACTGTTAGAAATGCTGGTCATTTATTTGTCATTCCAATTTTTACCCTATGTTTTATTCTTAGTAATTCCTTACTATCATGAAAACTTTTTCTTAGTTTAATTGTTTTGAAACATTTAATTTTTAATTAATTAGCACTTAATTTTCTGAATATTGCTTAATCTTAATTTTTGTTTTAAGATTTATACTGTATATTTGACTTTCAATCTATTTAAAAGACATGATATGATATTTTCTCCTATATTAGAAACTTTAAATAGTATATTTCCATTTTCTATTGACTTTATATTACTTCTTCCTTATCTTTTATACACACACACACACACACACACACACACACACACACGAAAAAAGCATGTGTACAACCCGACATAAGATTGATACTGTTTCACAGAAATCTTTATTGACCTTTTAAATGGGTTCATCTAATATATTTTACATGGTCCTGCATAACTATCATTTTGAGAGCTCTTTGTTCTTCGTCCAGAACCATACAGCAACTTCTCTTGCCTTCTGAATTATGCTCATTGTTATTTCCTATATGCTACATCTGGAGGTATTAGAATATTTCGAATTTGTATCACTGGAAAATATTTTACTTTTAGTTTTCAAAGGTAAGTTTGCTCAGTATAAAATACAGAAACAGGGTTGTCTTCAAATAAGAGGTCCATAGTGTGAGAGCGATTTCTCACAGGTTTATGCTTGCCTCATTTGGGCAGCATGGGGGGTCCAAAGAGAGGAGGAGCTCAGCCCTGGTTGTTGGAGGCAGAGTCCATGGGCATATCCCTGGGGCTACCCAACTTCTCACACTCAGCAAGACAAAAGGCTTTTTTTTGTGTGTGTGTGGAACTGGGGATTGAACTCAGGCCCTTGCACTTGCCAGGGAAACACTTATTCCACTGAGCCATCTCCCAAGCCCCAGGACAGAAGTCTTCATCACATTTGCAGCCACACCAGAGGTCCTGCGTCTTCCTGTGAGGCCCTTGTTCCTGACCCCGAAACGCTCAAGGCCCAGTTTTCTAACTCATCAGAAAAAAGAAGACAGAAGATGTCATTAGGATTAGGACTCTACCACAAATTGAGTCATATTAAAGTTAGATTGAACAACTGGGAGAGATGGAGATTTTTTTCAGGGAGGTCCTACATATTTTGAAGGAAAAAATTAATATCCAAAGGATGTAGGATCATGAAGAATTATACCAACAAAAATTTAAATTACACAGGTTCTTTGAATGTTTTTGAAATTTTATAATAAAAAGCAGAGTAAATTCATTCTATCTAGTCCTTACCTTTGAAAAATAATCTAAGAGTATGATTTACAGTTCTACAAACTAGGGTCATTTGTTATAACCCATGATTATTTACTGTAGAACAAAGCTAATTAACATCAAATTGCTGAAACCTGTTGTCATTGCAGTCATTTCTACTGTCTTTTGTTCTTATCAGCAGCTTGTTTCTTAAGCCATTGGTTCTTTAGTAGAAAGTCAGGAGGAATTTGCAAGCCATATGCTAATTAACCCCTGTTCAGGGTCTGAAGGCAGGTCAGAATGAGCGACCTCCGAGGGGATTATTTTGGCTACCTTTTGAGTTGAGTTGGTACGTGAGACCTAACACATGAGTGTATTTGACCAAGACTAACTGTGCTATTGAGTAATAACATGACTTTCTTGTTGTATAGTTGCTCACAAGAACTTTCTCTTTCTCTTTTATTTTGTAAATTCACATCAACTTGGCAGGAAAAAGAAAACCCAGGTTTCCAGCTCTCACCTGTGAGACGCTGCAGAGCCGGAGGAAGGAGCTGTTGGAGTCGCCCCTCCGGGAGAGACTGAGCCTCCAGAGACACACGCGCCTGTGCGCTTCAGCGTCATTATGTGGCATCCATTCAAGTGTCTTTCGTACCATATAAAGATCTGCAGACTGTGCAGAATATTTTTATACAATCCTGGGTGAGTTCTGAGTTATCATGCTATTGAAGCTTCTGAGAGCAACACGACCTGGCTGGGCTAACGGAGAAAGCCTACTCAGTGCACAGCCCATCCTGGCTTTTTTTTTTTTTTTTTTTTTTTTCTGGTATTGGAGTCAGTAGCATCTGACTCATTTGGTTAAAGAGCAACAGGAGAAGCCCTCCCTGACCCTTAGCAGGATGCACAACCAAGGATCCAGGAGAGGTGAGCGGAGCTGTGTTCATCACATCTGATTGAAGGAGCCAGCGCTGAAAGGAGTGCCAGGAAGAGTTGGTGAAGGACCACGATTTTCCAAGGCCACCCTAGCTGAGCCTCTGCTTTCTTTGCTCTCTGGGTTCTGTGCCTTTGCAGCCGGGACAGGTCAGGTGTCCCTCCCGCCTGCCACCTCGGCAGTGTCTGGGGTTCGAGGCACAGGGCAGGCCTCCCCCACAAATAAGCACAGGTCTACTGTCCAATTTGAGGATTTGGCTCTACTATTTTAAAAATCGAGTTTGGGCCCTGACATTATTTGGAATATTTCTTTATATGTTTTATGAACACCTATATAACCAGAGAGTCCACCTTTACAAAACAAAATCCACAGATTATGATTTCCTATGTCTTATGATTTTAAAAGTAAAAGGATATTTATGTTATATTTGTGAGTTTTGCTCTAGTGGTACCTATAATCAAGAGTAGAAAATATGGCTGGTTCTCATTTAATCTTGGTCTTTTGACTTGTCTTGGAAAAAAGCTTACATTCTCACTTAAAAGTCAATTATATCCAGGCTTAAAAAGAATTATCATCAGCTCTATAAGTGACTTTATAGATACTAATAAGAGATTTGACCATTTATGTTATCAAAACTCTTGGGCCAGGGAGCTATCTCGGTGGAATAAATGCTTGCCTGGCAAGCGCAAGGTCCTGAATTCGATCCCTGGTACCACCAAAAAAAAAAAAAAAAAAAAAAGCCTCTTAAAATTTGAAAGTTAAACTCAGTGTTCTACTTTGATTCAACTGTTATGTTTTCATAATCCAACATATATCTTATACTGAATTTTTTTTTAACGAGAAACTGTGTGGATAGGTAAGATGGATAACGAAAGGAAACATTACCAGTGAGAAGGAAATTTCTATGAGAACATACTCATGTGTGACAGTATTAAGATGTGTGTACTGTTGATAAAATAAACTTTGAGTGTGTGTGTGTGTGTGTGTGTGTGTGTGTGTGTGTGTTAATGGGGCTAGAACCCAGGACCTCATGTATGCTAGGTAGGTGCTCCACCACTGAGCTATACCTCTAGCCTGAAATAAATGTCTTATTCTTTAAAACACATCTGCATTTCATATAATGTCCTATTTGTCAATAAAGGAAGCATTGCGTTTTAAAGATTTAATGCTCAGCTCATCCTGCATTCACAGACACTGATGATTTGGCTTTTCTTTGCGTCTCTTTGCTGTAAGATGGCAGTTGCTTTTTGATACTATCACCTTTGAGTTGTATTTGGAGTTGACATTTTTGTTTGATAACAATAAAAAATTTAAATTGTTAAAAAAAAATCCATCCTTTCCCTTCCTTCTGAACATGTGTCACCATAAATTACTATTCCTATGTCACAGTTTGTGCCACCTGGACCTGGCCATTCCCAACTTGGCACCCAGTGAGGGGCAGAAGGTGAAGTGGCCCTGCTTCAATCCTGGGCTGTTGGTTCTGCAGCTCTTAGAGTCCTTCCTCCCTCAGCTGGGACCCAGAGTAGCATGCAGACTCTTTTTTTTTTTTTTTTTTTTTTTCAGAACCAGGCATTGAACTCAGGCCCTTGAGCTTGCCAGGCAAGTGCTTATTCCACTGAGCCATCTCCCCGGCCCACATGCAGACTCTTAGCAGGTCTAGTATTATACTTCCAGCACCAGGCTCACATGACAGCTCTGCTCCATGCGCCATGCGCTGGCCTAACGTTGACTCATCAGCAACAGATTTAATTCCTAGGAATAGTACTTGTTTTCCTGATTCCCCACATGTGCAGCAGCTTTGAGAACATGTGTTTCAGTGCCAGGAGACAAAAGGCACTGATGATGTACACTGAGCCACCTTGAGTTGACACAGTCAATTCCTGGGTGATATGCTGAGATCTCTCCGTGACCTTACCAGCTTCTGAGTCCTATATGTAACTGTCCCTTGTGAAAATGGGCTGAATCACTTTAGCTTTTTCCTTAAAACTGGTAGAATGGAGAAGACAAGGTGTACTTTCCCCATACCAAAAAAAAAAAAAATCAAAGTACAGAGTTTATTTGGAACATATGTCATAGCCATGTTATCTTATTTTAGAATGCAGTAGTCCACAAACAAGATTTATTCACAAAAATACAAAAAGCCCAAGGGTTGGCAGTAGATGGTAGCTAAGTACAACATCTTAGTCTGGTTACTGTCAAATTAGTTTTGAGCTTCCTAAATTTCCTACCATGTTCCAGCTTCCAGGTAAGCTGGTGCTTTACCCTGTCACCCTTCAATTAATTATTTTTCATTGTTTCTTCGATCCACTTAACAAACGTCGAAACCCGAACATAGACACCAGGCTTATTGGGGCGCGCACAGCCAAGACCCCAGGAAGTGACTCCTTGTAAAATGTACTTGTCCTTCTCGAAGCAAACCAGAGGCCCTCCACTGTCACCCTGGAGACAACGCAGGAGAAAGTTCATTAGAGGATTAAACTACTCTCCTTCATTATGGGTATCTTCCCTCTGTTAATCCCTAGGTAGATTTTTCTCAGCATTTTAAATCAGAAAGGAACTTATTAATAATATCATTTGAGGGCCAGTGAGATAACTCAGTTGTCTAACTCAGGAAGCTTAGGCAGGTACAGGGGATCTCTGCTCGATCCCCTGCACCACATGCTGCTCCAGCCCTGCCCTCAGGCAGGCTGAGCTGGCAAAAAAAAAAAAAAAGTAATAATAATAATAATAATATCATTTGAACATCTGTGGTGTTTAAATATGTAGAAAACTCTCTTCAGCAGAACTCCATGATTTGCTCTTCCCTGGGAAGCAATCCCTTGTGACCACTGTCCATATCTCTCCCACCCTAGGGCTTGTCTCAGGTCTGGCTAGTCTGAGCACAATTGCCAAGCAGTGCAGTGGGTCTCTGTCTTGGACCTTTGACTCCCTTCCCTTCTGCGAAGCACCCACCAGTCCCAGTCCACCAAGAAAGCAGGTGGCCTGTGGAAGTTACCATACCAAACCACTCCCTGATGCCCATCTGGAGCCCAAGCCTGAGAAATCTTAGATTCTCTGCGTAACCCTTAAGGCAGACATAGGGGGCTTCTTGGCAACTTTGCTAAGGGCTTTGGGCTGGCCAATCCTCCTCACTTTGCCACTTTGGGACAGATACATTCATGGGACTAAGTCAGGCCTGACGAGGTCTGACTTGAGTCTCAGTCCTTTCTTACCTGGCAGCTGTCCGTGCCACCAGCCAGATGCCCAGCACAAAGCTCATTCTGTTTGACCAAGCCGTTCAGGTACTCAAAGCGGTTGCATACCTTATTCTCAATCACGGGGAGCTGGGCCTCCTTGAGAAGGCCAGAACCATAAGTCCCTGTGTTTAGAGTAGAGAGTTATTGGATCCAAACCTGCTCTCCAGGAGACCGCTAGAACTACAGAGCAGCAAAGATAGCTGTCTTGTTAGTTGAGGCAACCTGATAACATAATGAGCCGGTCCTACCAGAAGAGCTCTTTTTGATACTTGGAAGTACAAACTTGGTATAAGATGTTGTGTTCTTATGACCTGCACCTAACAAATCTGGGCTTCTTGATGGTGTTTAACTGTTGTTGGTTTACTTTTTAAAACAAATTTTTAATACAAAGGAAGTGAGAGAAATACAATTACTACTATTTTTATATATTCTTCTTTGGGCTTTTTTAATGCTTCATTTACCACTTAGACCATATCATACAATTTCAAACCTGGATTTTTTTTTCACTCACTGCTATAACATAAGGACTTTTTATTTAATACCACAATCTTTATAATATTTTAATAGGGTGTGACTTCTCAGGGGCTGTGATAGGTCCGTTTTTGGAGACAAGAAAATGTTTTAGAAATATAGTGATGGTTGCACAACATTTCAGTTGTTGTACCCTTCAGATCCGTTAAACAGTAAATTTTACTTGCATGTATCTTATTAGAATAAAGAACAATCATTCATTGAGTATTAGCCTCAGGCACAAGCTCATACTATTAAGCATCTCATTTAATGGTCTTGTCAGCCCTATGAACTGGGCACTGTCATCGTTCCTGGGTACAGTTAAGGGCGCGGAGGCTGGAGAGGTCATGGCATTTGCCTTGACCTTGGGTCTGTGGCGTTGTCACCTAGCCCTAGACCCTGTGTCACCATGCTTGTTGTCTCCTCCTGCTTCCAGTGTTCATCTCTGTTCATGCAGCTTATTCTTTGTCCCTAATATTTTCTTAAGTGTAAGTTCCCAGAAAACACAGACATATTTAGAACTCTAAATAACATTGCCAAATTATTTTCTAAAAGGATAAGAAAGGGCAAATGCACTGGGAAAACACACTCACCATCTCTTGTGAGTATTCCTATTTTAATATCACTGGTGTCTGATCATTCTATAACGTATTAGTTACTGGAATAGGTTGAAGGTGTCTTGATCATTTTGCTAATTTATGTTTGTTTGACAATTAGGGAGAGGTAAAACTTTCCTATGTGTTTGTCTTACTAGTTGTAGTTCTTCTTTTTGTAACAAACTGCTTTTTTTTTTCCTTGCAAAATTGAAATATTCAGAGACTTAAAAAAAAAAAATCCCTGCTGCTTTTCCAGATGAACACTCCTAGGGTGTCTCAGGGTTTGCATAGATAATCCACTTTTCCAATTCTGCCAGCCCGGTTTTCCACAGGACTCTGTGGCAAATCTTTACTTTCCTAGAACAGCCAAGAAATGACAGCCATCTCTTCCCGAAGGACACTTAGCTTAGATGACTGCCGCTCGTTCAGAAAACGTGGACTCAATCTGGACATCGCTTGTCTGAATGTCATCATCCAAGGCTGAGTTCACCCTGGCTGGGCAGCTGTCCTGGTGGAATATCCTGACTGCCATGCACTGAGCAGGGGGGAGCATTGCTTAAACTGAGTAGAGAGAGGGGCCCATCCCAGACATTCTGCTGAGCCAGGTGTGGTGGCACATGCCTATAATCCCAGCACTCTTGGAGGCTGAGGCAGGAGGACTGCAAGTACAAACCCATCCTGAGCATCCTAAGGACATTCTTGTGTCTGTTTTCTCAGCATGAGACGTTCTGATGTAGGGGGCAATAGCCACCTCTGAGTGACAGGACGTTAGTGTGGTCTGTGGAGATGTGCTGCCATCCTGTGGCTGACGTAGAGAGGGCATTTTGGGGGGCCCACAGGTTGTGGGAACCTCAGAACAGAAACCCTCTTTGGGGTGGAAGGGAGGTCCAACAGCAATAACAGGTCCAATGTGCCTGGGCAGAGCTGGGGACCGGCTGAGCTGGGAGAATCTCTCAGCCTCAACGCTGACTTTATGCTTAGAATGGGAAAGTCAAGGAAGGTCTTGGAGATACGGGGAGACAGGAAGAATTTGGTTCTCACACTGGGATGGTGAAACGTGATCCATCTGCAGTCTTTATGGCCAGGAAGAAGTTGCTAAGTAGCTCTCAGTTGTTAAGTGACTTCTGGTCCAGTTAGTATGCAGAGAACCATTTCTTGAGTACATGGGTTGCAGGACTGAGAGTGTCAGAGAGCCCAGAATAGGACAGTGGCTAGAAATATGCGGGTGGGGTCGAGGTAGAAGAAACGGTGAATGCACTTGGGTATCAAGCAGGACCAGACTCCCTCAGGACTCAGCTACACACCGGCTGTGTGATAATGATGCTGCTGGTGGTGGTCGTGATGGAGATGGTGACGGTGACGATGGTGAAGCTGACGGTGGTGGCAGTGATGGTGACGGTGAGGAATGTCGATGGTGCTGCTGGTGGTGATGATACTGATGGTGGTGATTGTGGGGATGACGGTAATGGTGAAAGTGGCAATGATAATAGAGGTGACGCTGGTGGTGGTTGGATGATGCGGTGCCTATTAGTCCTCATGATGACCTTACAAGGTAGTACTGATGGCAAAGCCCAGGCTTACAGAGGTTAAGTAACTTCTTATTACATGGAAGATGATAGTCAAGTCCTTATGATTTTACGCTCACCTTTAACCAAATACTATAGAGGCTATATGTTGCTTTTTTGGCTGCCCACAGCCCTTCCCCTCACATCTCATGAGCCTATTGATTGATCTGCGCTTTGCTCCTCTGGGTGTGAGTGGGGTCCTGCCTTCGGCTCTGGGGTAGAGCTGGCGATGTGGCTTGAGTCAGCCTTCACAGAAAGGGTAAGCATGTGCTCAGTCCCATCTCTCTCCCCTTCCCCCTCTGCTGAGCCAGTGCCAGCCAGCACTACATCTGCAGCCACAGGGGAGCCCTGTGTGCCCAGAACCTACCCAGACCATGCTTGGAGAGGGATTGAGGCCTGAGCCATCATGGGA